TTTTTATCTTTGTTATATAAGACCTATAATATTATACTGATCTATTCGGCGTAGGCCTCTTACAATTATCATTATATCAAGTATAAAGTGATAGAAGTTCTAGATAGTTATAACTACTATCTTAATATATTATCAGAGATTTATAATGTATTTCATACAAGCTTGCTTTACTGTACTATTATCAATCTGTTCTCTTCTCAACTGACTTCTGACTGACAGTTACCAGACATTATAGAAGAAGATAATGAGCTTGAGTGAGAGATTGAGAATATTCTTAATAAGAGATCTCACAGCTGCAGCTGATAATATCTTATAAAATGAGTCAGCTATAATTAACTGATCTAAACTCTGAGTTCTGTGTTATCTGAAACAGCAGTTCTTGACTGATAAGAACTGCTTCTGAAAGAGAGAGACTAATGTGACAGACTGTACTCAATCAATTATATAGACTATTCTGTTACACTTCATAGATTCTTCTATTTCACTATTGAATATATATGCTCTGATTCTCAGCCATTCTCAATTATTAATTCTCAGTCATTATAAATGCATATAGATTCTTCTGCTCTGAAGCTTTATCATGTACATCATTATATACATGTATAAATATTCACTCTAATTACTGATTTCTACACTTTCTCTTTCTTTTTCTTCTTTAACATTTTTCTCTTTGTTATATAAGATCTATTAATATTATACTGATCTATTCAGCATAGACCTCTTACAATTAATAAGTTCTCTGAGACTTCTTTTACAGAGATTATTTATAATTCAGATAACTACTTCTGAGTATCTATAGTAGAGTTTATAAAAGTTAAAATATATAAGTTTTTAATTCTTTCAGTTATAATAGACAGTTACTGACTGACAGAGCTTGAAATGTAAGAATAAGTACTTATAGATGATTATTCAGATATTTACAGCTTAATATAATATATACTGTTAACTACTAGAAGTATTCACAGTAGAAAGATAAATGTAAAGATTAAATATATAATAGTATTCAAGCTGAGTTATAAATAGTATTTGTGAACTTCAGTTAATATAGTTATATATAGTCAAGAGCTGCTAACTCTATTAATTACATAAGAGATAGAAATAGAAGTAAAGAATTCATAAGAAGTGAAATTTCTTACATATTTATAGATCTTATAATATAAAAGTAAAAAATATTAAAGAAGAAAAAGAAAGAGAAAGTATGAGAATCAGTAATTAAAGTAAATATTTATACATATATATAGTAATGTATACAGTGAAGCTTCAGAGTGAAAGAATAGAAATTCTGTGAGTTTTTCAGCTGAGAATTAATAACTGAGAATCAGAGCTTTTAATGAAAATCTATAAAGTGTAATAAAATAGTCTATATAATTAATCAGACGCAGCTTGTTACATACTATTTACAAAGCTTATTATCTGTTTAAAAAGATCTGTGACATTCTCATATTAATTGAGAAATGTTAAATAATTATAAAGAATGTAAAATGTCAGTTCATTAGATAAATTATAGTAATATTTTCATTCAATCAGATTAAGTTATATGTAGAGTATAATTTAACAAATCTTATTTTTAATGAACTGAAATTTGAATACTATTCACTCATCAGATATATTTTCAAGATTGAAATTAAAACAGGTGTATGAAATAGACAGCTGATATTAATATGAAAGTTCTTACTTTTTATTATTATTAAAGTTTAAAATAACTGTATAAGTAACAGTGGCGGCAGTGACAGCAGTGATAACAGCTGCAGCTGCTGCAATTGCATCTTTAACATTCAAATTCATTTAATAATAATAATATTAATATTATTATGATGATGAGATTATTATTATTATTATTATTATAACACACACTCTGCAGAGTTATTAATAATTAGTGTCAATTACAGTTACAGATTATTATTATATTCATTACCCAGCATACAAGAGGTTTTCAATTAGATGAATATAATATTTACAAGGCCTACACCACGGCAGCGCCGAATCGTGGCATCTATGCCTATACAGGAAGGCCGTGCGTACTAAATATTTCATGCGACTTGGCGCTGCAGGATCCCTCTAATTAAAATATCTTATTTCTTTAAATAAATAGTTGATAAATAGCAGCTGAGTAACAGATAACTAGCTTAATAGTATATTAATTTCACTGATAGAACAGTATACAGTATCTTATAGTATCTTAGTAGTATTCTGATGATAACATCTGTCAATTACACAGTTACTGAGTAGTGTTATGATAATGTTAGAAAGTTCTGTACTGTCTCAACACTATCTTAACATTTAATATTCAGTGATGTGTCACTGAATATAATGATGGAACATGTGTTACAATCGGCGACATGTGACACGGGTGGGTGGAATGGTGGATTCACGGTGTAATCACCGTAAATTAACTGTAGGCTAACTTACTGGGGCAAAAGAGCTCGGTCACCACCAGCGCACTGCTGGTAGAAGGGCCGATCAAACTCCCGGGACCCCCAACATTAACCCTACGTTCTTCCCGTATGGTAGTAATCACCAACATATAGGGCATCCGGCCAACAGTCTCAATCCCGACCTGGACAGGATGACATAATCTGTCGCCAAGCCGGGGCCTCGGTTTAGCGTTCAGAGCTTGGCTTGATGGATAGAGTCATCGTCTGGCCTGCCAAAAACTTTTTATTTACCCGTATACGGACATTATCATGCTATTGTGCTACCTTTCTTCTTTTCTCTCGTCTTCTGTGCGGCTGGATGCTTCCTTGTATATAAATTGATTTTATCCCCTCCCCTCCCCTCTCCGGTTTCTCCTGCGTGATTCATTGACGAACGAACAAACCCCGCGGCGAATCGGAGACACACCACCCACCCCGCTCCACACTCCGTACTCCTTTTAACAGCCATGTCACCACGAGTATGTTGTTTTCTACACCTCTTTTTGGGAAGCGGTGTCAATTGGACTACATTTCTACCATTCCAGTTGTTTTTCAAAACTCTAGGCTATCTTGGGTTTGCTGCTAACTAACTCGAATTTTGCCGTAGCCCGTCATCCAACCCACCTTAGAAGTGGTCAAAGATGTCCTCGCGCAATCAAAGGGCGCGCCGCATCCGCCCAATCTGATTCCTCTGGTGGCATCGGTGCCGGCAGATCTACTCACTCCCACTGTGGCATATTTGAAATTCTCGGCGAAGTGAGTTTTGTAGTTGGTTGGCTATTCCCCTCAGAGGAGCAACATCCTAACGGATGCCGATTACTTGTCTTGGCAGCTCGAAACTATCCTTCCTCTATGAGAGTGCTACTACGATGGAGACAATTGGGAGGTATAGCTTTGTGGGAGCCGGTATGTGCTTTGTTCCCCCCTGCCGTAAAATAAATGCCAACCGAGCGCGCTTCTCATTTTTCGTTATTCCGGCTTGCTGCATTAGACCCCAAGAAAGTCCTGAAAACTGGCCCTGGCCATGGGGCCGAATGCGACCCACTCCCCGCCCTCGAAAGGGAGCTGTCCCAGTTCCGCGTCGCCACAATACCAGGCCTCGAGTTGACACCCATGGCCGGCGGAGCAATTGGCTACGTCAGCTATGACTGTGTGAGGTATTTCGAGCCCAAAACAGCACGGCCCATGAAAGATGTACTCAAGGTACCCGAGTCGCTATTCATGATGGTTGACACCATTATTGCGTTTGACCACTTTTTCCAAGTTGTCAAGGTTATCACATATGTACAAGTCCCGGAAAATGACGGAGATCTAGAAGTGGAATATACTAGGGGACAGGAAGTGATCCAACGTGCCATCGATGTACTCCTAGATCCTAAAATCCCACTTCCATCGCAACCACCGATTAAGAGGGGTCAAGAGTATACTTCTAATATTGGGCGGGCGGGGTATGAAGGCCATGTGAAGAAGTTGAAGGAACATATCATGAAAGGCGACATTTTCCAAACGGTCCCTTCGCAACGACTAGCACGCCCCACCTCTCTTCACCCATTCAACTTATTCCGACACCTGCGCACCGTGAACCCATCCCCGTACCTCTTCTACATCGACTGCGATGAATTCCAGCTCATAGGCGCCAGTCCGGAATTACTAGTCAAAGAAGAAAAAAGGCGGATAATCACGCATCCCATAGCCGGCACCGTGAAGCGGGGCGAGACACCGCAGGAGGACGCACAGCTCGCCGCAGAGCTAATCAACAGCGAAAAGGACCGCGCCGAACATGTCATGTTAGTCGACCTCGCGCGCAACGACGTCAACCGCGTCTGCGACCCGGTGACCACTCACGTCGACTGGCTCATGGTCGTGCAGAAATTCTCGCACGTGCAGCATCTGGTATCGCAGGTGTCCGGCATCCTGCGGCCGGACAAGACGCGCTTCGACGCATTCCGCTCCATCTTCCCCGCCGGCACGGTCAGTGGGGCGCCCAAGGTGCGGGCCATGGAACTGATTGCTGAGCTTGAGGGGGAGAAGCGCGGCGTGTACGCCGGGGCGGTTGGGTATTTTGGATACGATAGTGCGAGTAGGGATGGGAAGGAGATTTTTGATGGGGCGATGGATACGTGCATTGCGCTGCGGACTATGATGATGAAGGACGGGATTGCGTATTTGCAGGCGGGCGGGGGGATTGTGTTTGATTCAGATCCATACGATGAGTATATTGAGACGTTGAATAAGCTGGGGGCTAATATTCAGTGTATTAAGAGTGCGGAGGAGAGGTATATTGCGGAGGAAGGGTTGTAGGTTTCCTTGTTACATTTTACGTTTACTACTTCTTTATTTGCATGGCACTCTGCCGCAGATTTTTCGAAGATGGTGATGGCAGCCGAAATATGTGTAATCTACTCACCACATAAGACTCGTAGTGTTTCCGCATATTAAGGGAAGACGTCCATGTACCCCGTACGGTTACATAGATCCGTAACTGATAGCTAAATATATCTTTTTGTCAAACGCCCTCGATCACGTAAGCCGACGGTGCCACACAGCCTCAGCCACCTTTTCCACTTTGGGCCTAGCAAGATTCATCATCAAACCACAGTCGATATAACTCACGCAGTACAGCCCTCGCAACCACCACCGTCACCCACCATCACCTCCTCCCGGTCTCTCCTCCAAGAACCCTCGCCTTCTTACCTCCTCTCCTTGAGTGTTTCCTGATTCAAGATCGAGATCGAATATCCCTTGCTTAGGTCCGGAGAGAGATCTATTTCCCGGTGTTCATTGTCCCTAAATCTAATTTTCCCCCTCCCTCGGGAACGGCCCACACCAGTGATCAAACTACGACGGACGAACCCTTTTAAGAACCTAACCTTCGTGTTTCCCCCGTCCATACCATACCTAACCAACCACTATATCTATCTTCTACGACGACTGACGACATTCACCGCTGTCCGCTTCCGCCAGAATTCACCTTTGTTCTCATTGACGGAAAGAGGAACGAGTGGGAAAAAAAAAAAAAAAAAAAAAAAAAAAAAAAAAAAATAGACAACTGTTTCGATTCGAATGGTATATCTGTGTTAAAGAGCTAGGGATTGCCCCAAACTGAACATCCCCCGCCTGGGAGAACTCGCAAACGGCGAACGCTGTCCTACATCATAAACGACTATCGATTCCTTGGTTATTTGCTGAAAATTGACAGCGGTTCCTGCGCAGAAGCGAAGTTTGTCATTCCACGCCGCCTACGTCGCCACCCCTTCCTCCGCGGATATACGTAATACATTTTTGTTCTCCTAAAGAAGGACGATACAGATCTGATCTGAAGAAAACAAGCCGTGCTGTTTCTTTGAGACTGTAATTCTTTTATCTTGTTGCGCGCATCGTCCTCGGTACATACATACCCAACAGGCAACGACGGGACCGGCGCGGCAACCATCACATCATCGGGATACCCGTACATACCGAGGGACCTCTTTTGTGGTTTTTGTCATTTGTCCTTCGATTTTTCTTTTACCCCTTTTTATTAATTAATAGCCTGATTGAGAGGCTCTTCATAGCGCGACCATGTCGAAGGTTGTGAGGAGCGTGAAGAATGTCACCAAGGGATACTCGTCCGTTCAGGTCAAAGTCCGCAATGGTATGTTTCAACTATTGACTTGATATACTTGTTGATTTCTGTCGCTTCCCTTTTATTTTTTCAATTTTATTTTTTATTTTTAAATTTTTAAATTTCATGGTACTGATTTATGGTGTGCTGGTGTAGCAACGAGTAATGACCCTTGGGGCCCTACGGGGACAGAGATGGGGGAAATTGCGGCGATGACATTTCATAGGTAATCATATGCCTATACACACGTTTTACCCTTTACTCCGCGGCTAGTTTCTATTTTTAGTTATTTTACTAACGAATTGTCCGTATCACAGTCCCAGCGATTTCTACGAGATTATGGACATGTTAGATAAGCGACTGAATGACAAGGGCAAGAACTGGCGACACGTGCTCAAGTCATTGAAAGTGTTGGACTACTGTCTTCACGAAGGTTCGGAGATGGTGGTTACATGGGCCAGAAAGAATATTTACATTATCAAGACGTTGCGCGAATTCCAGTACATTGATGAGGATGGCCGTGATGTTGGACAAAATGGTTAGCTATAGGATAAACAGCTACGGACTAGGAAATGGGGAGCCTTTTTTTTGCTAACGGTTTATGTAGTACGAGTTTCCGCGAAGGAATTAACCGCCCTGATCCTTGATGAAGATCGTCTGCGAAACGAACGCTCTGATCGGAAACTCTGGAAGTCGCGTGTCAGCGGAATTGACGATGGAATACATGGGATTGCTGGTGGCAGTGAACCAGGTCGCCGCCCAAGGCGGGATCGCCCTCACCGGCAAGCTGACGAAGAGGATGCTGAATACCGCCTTGCAATCGAAGCAAGCAAGCACGAAGCTGAGGAGGAGAGGAAACGACGCCAAAGGGAGACAAACGTCGAAGCCGACGATGACGATCTTGCCAAGGCTATTAAATTGAGTAAGGAAGAAGAGGAGCTTCGAAGGCGTGAACTGGAGGAGAGTAATCCCTCTGCGCTGTTCGACGACAACACTCCCGCTGCGCCGCAACCTGCTCAGCCTCAATTAACAGGATATAACCAGGGATACCAGCAACAGCCTGCGGTAGATTGGTTTGGGAACCCAATGGACCAACAGCAACCTATGTCGACAGGCTACTTGAACAATCAATACGCGCAACCAACGGGATTCCAGCCGCAACAGACGGGTTTTACAAATGGCTATACAGGCGGCTTCCCCGCTCAACAACCCGGCTATGATCAGTTCGCGCAGCAAAATAACTTCTTGCAACCCCAAGCCACCCTCCAACCACAGCAAACTGCATTCAATAACCCCTATGGCAATGATATCTTTGGTCAGCCACAACAACAGCAACAGCAACAGCCGCAACAACAGCAATCGCAACAAGACAACAGCTTCCTCCAGCCAGGAACTCATAACCCATGGGCATCAAACCAACAACAACCAGCAGATGCGCTTAAGCCCATGCCAACGGGCTCCAATAATCCATTTGCCTCGTCATTCACACGAGCCCAAGCACAGCAGGTCCAAAAGACCGGCCCACCATCTCTCGGCACCCTCACTGAACAGCGCACCGCTCATCAATTCACCAACAACCAGCCTTCGACAAACCCCATCATGAACTTCCAGTCGTCCAGCAATACACAGCAGCAGCAGCAGCAGCAGCAGCAACAACAACAACAACAACTTCAAAACCCGCAGCACGCCCGTCTCAACGCCCTCCTCGCCACCGGCGACGGACAAGATACCTTCGGCAACGTCGGCGACCTCCGTATCCCTGCCCAGCACACCGCGCCCGGCGTATTCGTAAATTCTGCCGGTCAGGGTCTCGACCGTCTCCAACCAAACCAAACCGCGAACAATCCCTTTTTCAACCAGCAGTTTACAGGCGCTCCGCAGCAGCAGCAGCACCAGCGGAATAATAATCCGTTTGGAATGGGACAGCCGGGCTATGTGGCCCAGCCTCAGCAGAGTGGGAATCTGATTGACCTGTGAAGTTAGGAAGGAGGAAGGAGGAAGTTGGAGTAGGGGAAGTGGGGAGAGAGGGCTTTTATGGGTTGAAGTTTTCTTTGTTCTTATGACGATGTCCTCTTCAAACAAACGCGTTGTGTGGAGTTTGCGGGAATTTTGTAGAATTCCATGGCCGGGACACGTTGTGATTTGAAGAGCGGAGGGGAGGATTTTCATATTTTATGAAGAGCTTGTCAATTTGCGCAAGAGAGACAAGAAGTTTAGCCCTTCCACAGTTTTATTCCTTACTTTTTTCCGTGTGCTCGGTGAAAATTGGGTCTTATATTTTGGGGCCATTTTTTGTCCCCCCCCCCCCCTCTCTCTCTCTCTCCCCTTTTCTCCCTTTTTTTTCTTTTTTTTTTCTTTTTGCTATGTTTTACTTAGGTTTTTGTATCTTTTTCCATCTCTTTTTGAAGAGTCCGCCCGTCCTTCTTGCCAGTTTCCTATCACACATTTATCCCCATAAGTCATACCTTTTCGTCTTTTTCTCCTTTTCTCCCTCTTTTGTTTTATGTCAGATAGCGTTTTTTTTATTACCATCTACATTAGTTAACCTACTACCTACCTGCGGCTCCAATTCCCCTCCCACCTTTTTCTCCTGCTTGTTCTTGGGCCTTTGTCTTTATTTATGTTATTTATTTTATCCATTGGCCTTTTTACGAGTGATATTAGCTGCGCGGTAACATGTTTTTCGTTTCCTCTATTTCCTTCCCTTCTTTCTCTACCTCGCTTTTCCGATTCTCGTACTCATCTAGGCCGGCGATTTCTTTTTATCCCAAACAAGAAAAGAACCGTTTACTGATAATTCTTGGCGAATAATGTCTCCAGAATGGTCAGATATCCCCATGCTAAAATAAATATTGATTTATGTCCCTGCATTTCTTTTACTTTCCATCTTCCATTTTCCGTCTCTACTTCTCTTTAATTGTCATGAAAAAGAAAGGAAGAAAACAAACTGCACTTGGACTGTAAATGTTATGTACATACTTTGCATACATTCAACATGAAGCTTAATGCTGTTACATATAGGGGGGGTCCGAATTAGGGCTCAAAAAATAAACGCCATAAGCGCGAACCTTGTTTTGTGTCAGTTGATCATATCATACTGGTATTCCGCCTGGGAATCAACCATAGCAACTAACATGCCATAAAGAGGGGAACGGGGATGGAACAAATATTTTGTTTTCGGAAAGCCGAGAATATGTACCGCTGCTGCAGTTTGTCAGTGCTTGGCTGTCAACTTTTGCGGTGATGTGATATACTACACCGTACTATGTCGATGCTAAGAAGCATACATACCTCCTACTACAGATTGTAGCTAAGGTCAAGTGCTGTGAGCGTCTTCTTTGAAATGGCTATTTGGATTCTTCCAGCTCTCCAGCAAGAGGGTTGGTCCATGTTTTGCCTATGGCGATCTTGTCATGCGCTGGTCGTCGTCTAGGATGTGAAGCCTTTGTAGATAGAGTATTGGCTCCGTACCAAGGACGATATTCTGCCAGGGAACGGTTGGTTCGAAAATCTGTCCCTTCTTTTGCATGCTTGCTTGGTCGGTCGCCTATTCATGCACACTCCCTGCTGACGATTCAGAAGCAGCGGTTCTTTCGCCCCGTTCTTGTGGATCTGCTTCGTGTTGTTGTTATAAATGATGCTCCAGGTCAATCTTGGCTGCTACACAGACTTGCTTAACGAACAAGCCTGTCTGTGTCCCTGACATCCATCAGACGTTGGCAGCTATCGCTCCCCAAGAAGGATTGAATCTGAAGACATGTGTTTGGCCGGAGCTCGCCACCAGCCATGAGCTTCTGTGCATTTCCCTCATTGGGCTTGGTCGTGTCTTTTTGGAGTGAACATTATAAATGGAAATGGGAAACGGGGGCTTCACAGTTCACAGTGTTAACGACAGGGCGGAGGAACCAGAGAGGCCTATCCAAAAGAAGCTCTTTGAAACATCACCCTGGAAGCGGCGGGTTTTCACTGCTTGTGGGAAGTCTTCTTCTATTTTTATTTTTGTTCTATTTATTTATTTATTTATTTAATTTTTTGTTGCTTCCTTTGCTTCCTGAGTGCTTTAAAACTCACGCTTATGCTTGCAACATCTAGACCAACGAGGCAGACTCGTGGTGGAAACCATTCGAGTTTCTTGACCCAACCGGAGAATAAGTTTCTTCCGCCCTTTTTTAGCTTCCTATTAGCCTAGACGGCGTTTGAAGCGACGAGCAGACATCTTCCAAACTACTGGAGAGCTAGCTTCCACAGCTCGCTCAGCATTATCGATCGGTCACTACTTCATACGGATTGCGATGAAAAGAGTTGTCAGGAATTCCTCGAAAAGTGTTTTGAGTTATGTGGTCGGTCAAGGAAGAAGGAAGAATCCAAAAAGTTTCAGAGCAAAAAAAAAAAAAAAAAAAAAAAAAGAAGAAGAAGAAGAAGAAAGGAAAATAAACGATGCCGTTTTTCCCGCAAGCGAATTGGGAGCTTGTTGGCCCCGAGGTTTCTTTCGCTCCTAGCGTTTCTTTTCTTTTCCCAAGCACCAGCAGTCTGCGCCAGTCACATACGCTCACGAGCAGCGTTCAGCACTAATCCTAATCAACACTGATATCTCCTTTTTAAGTTGAGCTACTCCATCACTCTTACGAACAGGATTCTGAGGCTGACCACTGTGACCAGTGAGCCGCAGCGTGATACGAGATTTCGGGTTTCACTCAAATGACGATGCTCGATTTATCCCAAATGGTTTCTCCAATCGCCACAACTCGGAAGAAGCGAGTTCTGTGCAGTCAGAGCCCCGGCCATCAGAGAACAACCATGGAGTTGCTTCTGGGACCTCGTAAGAGCGCAGAATGCCTGACTCGTCGAAAAACATTTTCGATCCAATCAAGCCAGATTTGCAGGTCGCTTGTGGAGTCTATGAGAACTCAATACGAGCCGCACCTTGAGCCTCACTATTATTATAATGATTCTGCTGAGGATGAGAAAAGGGGTTTGCTCTTCACGCGCCGTGGCGTGCGAGAGGGCTTGCGAAGTGTGCTTGTGAAGGCATATATATATAACTAGAGCAAAGTCTCTTTCTTTCCTCTAGTTAGCGAACGATTCCACTTCCATCACATCTTTGATCAACTGACCCCTCGTCCTTCATTCTTTTAAATCGAACTTGCTCTCTGTTCTTTTTATATCCTTCACTTCAATACAGATACCCCATCATTTTACGCTCATATAACTACACTTTTTTTTTCTTTTTTTAATTTATATAAACCTTTCATGTTAATATACCTCCAACAATATGTCTGGCCCCGAAACAACTGGCAGCTCTAACTGGGGAAGCTCGCTCTGGGACTGCTTCAACCCCATTGATACATGTATGTGGGAACCTTCATCGCCAGATAAAAGAGACGCCCATTTGCGAGCATGGAACGCTGACAGAGCGGGCCGGATCTCTAGGTTTAATGGGATGGTGCTGTCCATGCGTCCTCTTCGGCAAGACCCAGGCTCGCCTGGATGACCCCAGCCTGGCCAACTTCAGCCCAATCAACGATAATGTAAGCTGAACAAACGAACGCACCTCTCCCATCACTCTCTTGACTTTCGAGAGGGACTACGCATTTTGCTCAGCACGGAGAGCCCAAAACCTTGTTATACTAATTTGGGCCAAAATTATAGTGTCTTATCTTTTGCGGCATGAACTGCTTCGCCGTCGCATGGCTCCTCCTTGTAAAGAGGCGCACCGAGCTGCGCGAGAAGTACGGCATCACCCAAACCCATCTGGAGAAGTTCCTGAAATGGGAACCCGGCACCATCAAGGCCAAGCACAACTATGAAGAGTCCCTAGTCCAGGACTGCCTTGCCTCCTTTTTCTGTCCTTGCTGCGTTGTTGTCCAGCAGGAGAAAGAGGTGCTTGCTCGACAGGCTGCTGGGCAGACTGGTTATCAGAAGCCCCAAGCTATGGCTTACCCTCCAGCCTAGGCGATGGGATGCTACGGTAAGGGGGAAAGTTGATCCACCATGGGTGAGGAAACGGGTATTATGAGAAATAATGGATATTATTTGATCAAACAAATTAAATTTCATACGGGTTATTGGGGCTGGTTGGATATAAGCGGACTTGATGCAAATTTTGTCGATTTCCCGCGCATTCTCTCTCTCATTTCATATTTTCCCTTTGTTATAACTTTTTGTCACTAGAATAATACCCTGCTACAAAGTGTTCACTTCAATTAGATTCCTTTCATTTTCATTTTTATTTATATTTATTTTATTTTTTGCTAGAATTCCCGCTTCAAATCCCCCCTAACAAGAAGATCAACCGAGGAACAGGTCGGATTTTCTCAAAAACCCCCCCCCCCCTTTTTATTATTTTATATATTCACCTCTCACCCCCTGTCATTTCCACCCAACAAGCAAAAGCTAAGAAAAGAGCCTCACACGACAGTTAACTACTAACTTTTTGTCCCCGCCCAAAATCCTTGTCCCGTCAGCCTGCTAGTCCGTAGTTACAGTCTCTTTCAGAGCCCCAGTCTGCTAGCTCGCTCAATAGCTTGACACGAACACGAGCCAAACCTTGAGCTTTTCTCGCTCTGAGGAGTATCCGATTTCCAAACCCACCACCCTCCGACCTACTACTATGTAATGATGTACATGCACATTACTACATGTACATGTACATACGTAACTCAACCCATCGGCGTGACGGCGTCTGCTAGGCTCCGTCCGTTTTGCTGACATGATTATTTATTTATTGACATTCCTTGCTTGAGCTGCTTTTGACTGGCCGACACTTTCAAAATTTGTGCCGAAACTGCACGAGCAGAAAGCTTGCAGATATAAAATCGGGCTTCTGAGGATGGGTGGTCCCAAGCATGCATCAGCGAGCAATGCCGCCGGGCCTGGGAGGGAATGACACCCCTTATTAAAGATGTGAGTGAGGACATGATACTTTTTTTCTTTTTTTCTTTTTGTTCTTTTTGTTTTTTTTTTAGCTGTACGCAGCGTAGATGAAAGCTACTTTTCTTCCCCGGGTTCAATTAAGGCAGAGAGACATAGATACATAGTTTGGGAAGAAATCGTATGATAACCAACCCACCGTACATGTATGTACGTCGTTTCCCCTACAACGTCTCCTCTATCTATCGAACATGGTTCTCAAGCCATGAACGTTGGAGAGTAAACTAACTAGAATAATCGTCAGGGAACAGAGGACATGGTTATCAATTACATAGGAGCCTCCCCTACGGTCCGATGACAGTCAGACACTCTTGCTCCGCTTAAACAGTCGACCAATACTTTTGGAAGTGGGGAATTGAGGTAGGTGTTACTTCACTCCATAATAAAGCTTTAGAAGATAGCTTGGATTCATTAGTTATCAAGTTTTAACAGGGAGATTGAAGACATAGTATTGGAAAATGTATTGGATATATTCATAGGCGGATGGATCTGGATAGAAAGAAGTGGATAGACGCCTCTTTGCTGCAGGCTGCGCTTGACGATTGAAGACACAGAAGAATGCTGAGCAAAGGAAAAAAAAAAAAAAAAAAAGAAGAGAGGGAGGGGGGGGAAGAGTTGGGAAATGGCGGAGTGTATATATGGAGCGCAAAGGGGACTAGAAGAAGAAAGCGTGAGAAAATAGAAAATGTAAAATAAAAGGAAAGCCCTAAGTCTCATTCTGTCGTCGGATTTAATTTAATGCCTCTTTTCTTCCCCTCCCCCCCCTTTCGCCCTCGTCATGTCGGTTTAATTAGTTCAAAAATGGTTCCTCCGCTCTCGATCATCAGTATCGAGAGACGGGAGCTGTCAGTTTCTAGGTGTTCATGACGCAAACACCCTCACATTCAAATCTACACTCCCCGTCGCAATCACACAGCGGATTCCCAACTTCGCCCCCCCACCAGGATCCTCCTTCTTGCTCCCGGGTATAATCCCATTTACACCAGATAAGGCAAGGGAACCACCGCCATTAATATCCCCATTCACCCCCATGCCACCAGCGTCTTTAATAATATTCGGCGCCCACCGTATACAAGTTACGAACGCGTGCGCATCCGTTACTACGCGCACGCATTTGAACTCTTGGCTCAGATCCCAGCAGCGGATAGTCTTATCATCGCTGACGGAGAGGAGATATTTACCGCCCGGGTGGAAAACGAGGGCGCGGACCCAGTTGTCGTGCCCGATGAGGGTTTTGATCAAAGTGCCGCGAGAATCCCAGACGCGGATTGTTTTGTCGCGGGAGCCTGTGGCGACGTATTCGGCAGATGAGGAGGGTGGAGGTGGTTTTTTAAGTCCCGCCAGGGCTGCTAGATATGGGTAGGTGGTCGGCGGGGCTAAGGCGACGCATTCGATGAAGTGTTCATGGCCTAGGAATGTGGATTTTGTTTCACCCGATGAGACATCCCAGAGACGGGCGACTCGGTCGTCTCCAGCAGAGAATAGGAACCGGCCATCTGGCGAGGGTACAACATCTCGAACCCACTCTACGTGCCCATGCAGCGTCCTAACGCAGTAGCCAGTGGTTACATCCCAGATGCGGAGGGTCTTGTCACGCGAAGCGGAGACCAGCAGATTTCCTGATAAGGGGGAGCCAGCTGCGCCTGACGGGATAAATCGTACGGCAGAAACAGAGTGGTCATGTCCAGGGAGTGTGCGGATATTCTTATATTCGTCGGAAGGATCCCACAGTTTTATCGTGAGATCTGATGAGCATGAGGCCAGCAAAGTGCCTCCATGGGGACCTCCATAATCCACATCTACAACGGCTCTTGTATGACCCTTGATGGTGCGCTCAAGCTCACCCAGCTCCCAATCCCATATTTTAATAGTTGTGTCTTCGGACCCTGATGCAAGTGATGAGAAAACAGGATGAAACGCGACGCTGGTCACTGGGTTGCGGTGGGATTCCAACCGATGCCGGGCGGGGGCACGGGGTAGCCAGGAGACAGGATCTTGGTTCCTTCGGGAGAGAGATGTGGGAGTAGCAGAGTCAAGCTCAGATTGAAGGGCAGAATTTCGTGCTTCCAGATCCATAATCTGTAGATATACAACACGATCTTAGCAGTGCATTGAAATACAATGGTAGCTATGTATGTACGAGTGTTGCGGCTGCTGTTTCGAGCTCACCTTTTTCTGTAACCGCACTACACTTGTCCACTTCTTCTCCAAAAGTCCTTCATATTTTTTAGCGGTGGAATCGTCCAGTTGGACGCTATCCGCGATCTCTTCCCGCAACGCTGCAGCACTCTTTGGTAACTTGGCGGAGAGGAAGTATGCGATGATAGATTTGTGGCTGCGACATTTTTATCCGTTAAATTAGAAGACAGCTATCAAATAGATATTGGGAAACTGTTCGATTACAAACGCACAGCTCTTCCGCTTGCCGCGGAGTCAGTAATTGGCTCATTGCTGCTTGTATATTTGGCGACTTTTTTGATTCATAGGGGTCTTCTCAGGCGCCCCCTCCACAGCCACCCAACAAGGCCTTGCCCGCCGAACCTGTCCGAGAATAGTATTTAATGTATTAAAAATGAGGATATGTTCGACACTAGTGATGGTCAGGGAACAAGACAGTGTTGGGCTTCGCAGGAGGGTATCGGCGGGCAGCAATATAGCTGGATAGATATATGCAGGTGAAAGCAGTGGTGGCGGGTGGGTGGGTGATGGATTGATGGCGATACCGTTGATTATGAATGAAGGCCCCTCCAGGAGGATAAGATCTAGCTATTTAAAACACAGACACATGGTTCAGCAGAGACGTCGTGGCAGCACACAGAAGAATATCGAGATAGATGGATATTTAAGAGTCCGGCGATGAGCCATGTTGTTGCAGTGTTTGGAGTGTTTGGCACCAGTTCCTGGCCTGGGTGGTTGCCAGAAGAGGAATGGCCGGGTCGCCGCTTTATTAGGCGCCATTTGGGAATTAGTTGTACAGAGTATTGTATAAATGTATACCTAGGTAAGGTCCTCTGCTGAAAGTACACGGACAGTGGAAACAAAAAGAAGAACAATATAGTCTCTGCACACTATATATCCGTTAATAAGTTGTCAAAGGGACTAAAGAATGGCTATGTGGTTAATTTGTTGCTCGGTATGCTTTTGTTGTTGTTGTTGTTGTCTTTGTTTCTGTTGGAAAATTTGCAGGCGTATGTTTGAATTAACTAGTTAGTTAAGTTACTCATCCAGAGCAGAACAGAAGTAGATCGCATCCTCTGCCCTTAAAAATAGAATTCGCGGCGAACTGCAGTAAACTGTAACTAGTCTCAAGACTTGAGCTCTGTATTCCATATGAGCGTACTCTAATTCAACGCGAGATGGATTTTTCATATTCCCGTCACTCATCCTTCCCAATGTGCAGATGGGGATGGATCTATGGTGAAGTTTGAGAGCAAAAGCAGCGCCAGACACAGGTCACGTGGATGCCAATCACCACGGCGATTGTTCAATGTTGACGTTTGCCCTGTGTTTTTGCCCAATTCCAAACCTTATCACAGCTCCAAATTCCATAAATTCCAAATCTCCTTCACCAGGTGCAAGACAAGCTCGATACTGTCTTGTTTCCTCCGGTTAACGTCTCTTCCACAATACTTGCATCAAGCTTTGTTTATTCGTGGTGTTGCGTCTGCCGACTTCCTGCATTCTACCAAACTCCCGCAACTACAAACAGATACCTAAACCACCAGCGACTCCCTCGTCTTTTGATCCGGTTTATTAATTTTTGCGACACTATTTCTGACCCCATAAGGTACTTTTCACTTATCGCGAGTATCGCTTTCCCCTTTCCTCTCAGGATGTTGCGCTGCTGTGTCATCCCATCGTGGTGGGGCCGTTGGGCATCAGCGGAAAAATTGCAAGGAACAGTGGATTCGTGCGGACGCTAAATAGTTGAAGAGCGTAGGGAAGCAAATTTGGCGACGAGTGTTGCGATTACAGCCTCGCAAAATGGCTGATCAAGAAGAGGACTTTAGTTCCTTGCCTTTACCAGATAGATTTGCTCATAAGGTTAGCCCTGTGATTTTTCGCTTCTATATTCCCCAACCACCCCGCAATTGACCTGTTATTGATGTTGACGTATAAATATATATCAAACCATAGAATTGGAAAGTGAGAAAAGGAGGATATGAAGATGCTACAAAACAATTCGAGGTTTCACCGGACGAATCAGATCCCGTATTTCGACCGTTCCTACAAGACCCGGGATTGTGGAAGGGTGCTGTCGCCGATTCGAACGTAGCAGCACAGCAAGAAGGTCTAAATGCGTACTGCGCCTTTCTAAAATATTCAGGTGTTCAAGGATGCACGAGGTACGCATACATCGCTGATACAAGCGGGTTGGCCTGCGACCTAGGTTTACAGGCGGGGAAAGTACACTGACACTGTTGTAACTAGGACTCGGGGAACGACGATTGCCGCCATTGCGGAAAAGGGCTTACCATCAACCCGACCTGCAGCGAAGGCCAGCGCACTAGAGGCTATTCTACTTTGCATAGAACTAGATAGACCTGAACCCGTTATTGAGGATCTCGTGGCGGCGCTCTCACATAAACTCCCCAAGGTCATTGCACCGGCCCTCGCCGCATTGACAGCCGCATTTCACAATTACGGCTGCAAAGTTATTGAGCCAAAACTGGTGTTAAAAACGCTACCAAAAGTTTTCGGCCATGCGGATAAGAATGTTCGAGCAGAAGCGACAAATCTCACTGCAGAACTGTACAGATGGCTCAAAGATGCTATGAAGCCGCTATTCTGGGGAGAATTAAAACCCGTGCAACAACAAGATTTGGAAAAATTATTCGAAGCCATCAAACAGGAGCCTGCACCAAAACAAGAGCGATTTACGCGAGCACAGCAAGAAGCGATGGCAGCAGCCAGTAGTCAGGCTGGCGGGGACGGAGATGGCGCTGCAGCAGATGGGGGCGAAGACGACGGTGATGCAGAGATTGATGTTTTCGATCTTGCAGAACCCGTCGACGTTTTATCTCAGGCGCCAAAGGACTTACACGAGAAATTAGCGTCGACGAAATGGAAGGATCGTAAAGAAGCCCTCGACGCACTCTTTGCCGCAGCGAATGTCCCTAGGATCAAAGACGGGCAGTTTGACGAAATGATGCGTGCGCTGGCAAAATGCATGAAGGACGCAAATGTAGCTGTTGTCACCGTGGCCGCCAATACCATCGAAGTTCTTGCCAAAGGCTTACGCAAGAGCTTCTCTAAGTACAAGCCTGTTATTCTGGCTCCCATTATGGAACGGCTAAAGGAGAAAAAACAGTCGGTTGCTGATGCGCTGGGCCACGCCTTGGATGCAGTCTTTGCCGCTACAAGCCTTTCAGATTGTCTCGAAGATGTGTTAGAATTTCTTAAGCACAAAAATCCACAAGTCAAACAGGAAACTCTGAAGTTTTTGATTCGATGTTTGAGAACAACTAGGGAGGTTCCCTCGAAACCAGAAACAAAGTCGATAGCAGACGCTGCTACAAAGCTGCTGACAGAATCTAGCGAAGCTACTCGATCCGGCGGTGCCGAGATTCTAGGAACCTTGATGAAGATCATAGGTGAAAGGGCGATGAATCCCTATTTGGATGGATTGGACGATATTCGGAAAGCAAAGATAAAGGAATTTTTTGATACGGCAGAAGTTAAAGCTAAAGAACGTCCCAAGCCTATCGTTGGACCTCCCAAAGGTCTGGTGGTTCCGGGAGGAGCAAAGAAGCCCATTGCCAAAAGGCCGGCAGCTGCAGTTAAGAAACCAGCACCCGCTCCGGCGGCCCCTGACGAACCTACACCAGCACCACCTACCGCCAAGAAGGCGATACCATCCAAACTCGGCCTTCCTAAGGCTGGGGGTGCGGCCACGCCTGGATCAGGGCTTAAGCTTCAAAGAAAGCTAGCTGGACCGGGAGGTGCGCCTGCATCTCCGCGAAGGGTAGTCTCACCACCTTTTGAGGAAAACCCAGCTCCTACTGCCCCTGCCGCTGCCCCTACAGGTTCTAAATTCGGCATGGGTAATCGTGGGTTGGCTGGGCGTTCTCTGGGGAGACCAGCACCTCCAAGTTCTGAGCCTGCAGCTCCGCCTCCTACTTCCATAAGCTCTGGGATGGCGGCAATTGAGCGGGCCGAATTAGAAGAGCTTCGCCTTGAGAAAGAGAGATACTCACGGATGGTAGAAAATTTGCAATCTGAGCGAACGAAGCTTCTATCTGAAATAAACGAACTTCAAAATCAAAACGCACAGCTGATTGAAGATCACACGAGAGATGTGCTGAGTGTCAAAGCCAAAGAAACTCAACTGGTTCGAGCCAGGAGCGATGCAGAAGCGGCAGAACAAAATGTCCAGAAACAGCAGAGAGAAATTGAGCGGTTGAAGCGGGAGCTGGCTCGGGCTGTGCGCGCCAGCGCAGTTAGCCCCCCAGCTACGATTCCTGATATGGGCCTGAATATGGGCATCACAGATGGCGGAATATATCAGGACAGCGCAAACAATAATCACAACAACATGAACGGTCCACCATCTCGCTCTGCTCTTCATTTCGGCTCACGGTTCGAAAGCGCACGGCCTAGAAGCTTCATGTCCGCCAGCCCCAGCGAGGAGAAAGAGAACAATAACGGTCTCGAATCCCCAGGTCTTAGCGGTGCAGGTGGGTACGCGGGGCGGAGGAAAATCAGTCCACCCGTTGGCTCATCGTACTCTTCAGGTAGAGGAAGTCCGGCGAGGATGTCTGCTGGTGGTCGAACGGGGTCCAGCGGGGATGGCCTGCCCGCGTCCACATCTACTTCACAGGGTGGCGGTGAACCCGCGGAGAATTGGAAGCGGGCTGCTGAAGTTACTAGCCAGCTGAAAGCGAGGATTGAACAAATGAAGGTAAAGAACAGCACTCGACACACTTCCCGACTTCCCTTCCAGCTTTATGCACAGTGATATATATACATCGCCGTAAAAGAGGCCTAAAAATATCATTACCGTTTGGCTAACGTTCCTGTTACTGTAATTTAGGCACGGCAAGGTCTTTCTCGGCCTGCACCTTCTTAGTCCACTCCCATAACCCCACTCACTCCCCGTCATTCTGAGGAGTTGAGAACGCATTTCGCCAGTGGATTGTTTAACTTTATATAATACCCCCTTCTCCTGCCAACACCACACCACTTTTTCGTGTCTGATGATTGTCCCTTTTTCATTTCAGCCACCTTCTGCGCGGTTTGCTTCGTTATACTGTTTCCATGTCCCTTTCGTGGACATTTTGTCAATACTCAATACCCCAAATAAAATCAACTTCGAACCCTCCTGGATTTTATAATTCTCTTATTCTTTCTACTTATTTTTTCTACTTATTTTTCTTTCGTTTTCCCTTTTCCCTTTTCCCTTTCTATATCTTTTCTTTTATTGTCGCTATTCTCTTTTCGGCTCGGTAGCTACGCAGGAATTTTGAAGGTAGACAGGCGTATGAAAAGGAGGGAGGGTGACAACAAACAACAGGGAATCAAAAATGATTTTTATCTATAATACAAAACCCACCCCACACTCACCTCACCCACCCACTTTCTCACTTATACACACTCACTTTTGTTTACAGATTGGACGTGTCTGAATTTTTTTTAATTTCTTTCCGGGAGGTCGGTCGGCCATCCTTGCCTTGATTTTTATTGATTTGTTGATTCTCCTTCCATATCACTCTTGTTTCTTCTCTTTAAAAATCTTTTCTCATTAGGGCAGCCTTTCTTTCTCACCGGTCTCTACTCACCCCCCCCACTCTTTTCCTTCCAGCTAGATCAACCGCGCTTTAACCACTGTTTATATACTCCTGGCTCCTCTTTTTATTTTTCCTTTTAATTATTACATATCTTATCTAATTTGAATGATGCAATGCATCAATGCACTAAGCACTGTTCTACTCTCCCCCCCCCACAGTTCCCCGCCCATTTCCCCCTCTTCGGCGACACCAGAGCCCTGTTCGCTTGTGTTACAAGATATCATTAAGTCGTATTTATGATTATTCTTACGATAATATTTATTATTTCTTTTTACAATTTGCTGATGTGAGATAAGGAGCGGGGAGTAGGGCCGCGGGGGAGGAGGTGATGTATGGATATAGATTGATAATAATAAGGTACAGTACAAGGATGTGCAGCGTGGAAAAGCTGGATTTTGTATATTTTTCTTGTAGATTTCTTTTTGATTTTGATATTGATTGACACATTTTATATTGCTACACGCTATCTTGGAGTGATGGAAACGGCTTAGGGTTTTCTTTCAACTCTTGCTTGTCTGGTGAGTGGTGGCTAGGAGAGAGAGAACATGGCAGGGTGAGTGAGTACCCATGCTACAGAGGTGTGTTCGGGAGAGCAGGCAACGGTAGAGCAGAAGGGTGTATTTCATTCAGGTGGGACGACGAGTTTATAACTATACGCACGGGTGCAGTACCCGTACGCTCTGGCCTGCTGTGCTGTGATGATTTTCTCCAACGTGCTGGGGTGGGTAGGGATAGAAGAGGGGGGAGAAAGCTAAAGGGAAGGTTGATGTTTCCATATGGTGGTATAGAAATGATGGCATGAGTTTACAGGTTTCTAGGTGGATTCGATCGATTTACTACACTGGTTAAACGAGGCGAGACCATCAATTCTGCGGACGGCGACGACAGGGGTAGATTGGATTGGAAGCCAAGGGCGATGAGGAATGGGTCACTTGCTTCAAAACATCTTGAAATTATCTTGGTTGGTAATCCAAAGAATAGGGGGGTATATGCCGATCATACATGCAATAACAAGGAAAAAAGCACTAGAAGACAAGGAAAATGGCCAAGGGGACGCGCATGGATTGTACCGTTCGATTGAGAAGTTAGCTATGTGAAGCTTTTGTATGTATTTCTTACTCTTCCAGGTCTAGCTACGGTTGTGGTTATTCCCGTTCGCCATGCTTCCATCGAAAGATTGTCACCAGAAGGCCGAAAACAACAAAGGGCTGAAAAGAGAGAGAAAGAAACGCCTCCAGATTCCAGAAGCCAACTCCGAACCGAAACAACAGTTGTGGTATTTCATTTTGTATGTTTATCGTAACATTGTTTTTTTTTTTTGTTCTTGGGGGGTCATTGATTAGAATAAAAATGGGTGCTAGGAAAGATTATTTTAAATCTTAATGGCGTTTTCGATGGCCTTGCGCTTCTTGACTTGTTTGGCAACGGCCTTGGCACCCATGATACCACCACCCCATCGGCGCTTGCTCTCCTCGTATTTGTCGCTGTAACCCTCCTTGATGGCGGAGACGAGCTTAGAGAGCTCCGTCTTGTCCTCGGCGCGGACCTCGGTCAGAGCAAGGACGGCAGCAGTCTGTTTTGACAGAAAATATTAGTACCGGCGAAATTATATTGTTTCGTTTGATGTGTTAAGAAGCTGGCCTACCTTCTTGTGGACGACAGTTCCAAGTCTGGCCTTGCCCTTGATGATGGCGTAGGGGACGCCCATCTTGCGGCAGAGGGCGGGGAGGAAAACAACAAGTTCAATCGGATCGACATCGTTGGGGATGAGGACGAGGGAAGCCTTCTTGTTCTCGATCAGGCCAACAACGTGGTTGAGACCGTACTTGACGGCATAAGGCTTCTTGCTGACGTCCTCCTTCTTCTGGCCAGCCTCAACAGCGGTGGCCTCCTTGTGTAGACGCTCCTTCTTCTCAGCCTTCGACTCTGGGCGGTACTTGTTGAGGAGCTTGAAGGCTTGAGCGGCGGTGTTGCGGTCCAATGTATTCTGGAATTGGGCGATCGCAGGGGGAACCTTGAGGCGGAGGTTCAAAATTTTCTTCTGGCGCTGGAGGCGGACATACTCGGGCCACTTCACCATGCGCGAGAGGTTGCGCTTGGGCTGGATGTCTTGGCCAATGCCGAAGTTGCGGGATCGCTTCTCAAGAAGAGGGTTCTACAATTTGGTTCAATTGAGTTAGAAACGAATGTATAGTTACTCGGATTCCGCTCGACTAGGCAAATAGCGATGAGCTTGATGGGGAGGAAGAAATTTTTACATACCTTGGGAGCCTTCTTAGCACCAGCCTTCCCCTGGGGGAAGGGGGCGGCAGCAACTTTCTTTCCCTTGGGAGGCTATCATTGAGAAAAGAAGACCATCAGCGAATCTTGTTCACCAGATACTACATCTTCTTTGAACTCTAGAGAGACCACGAGCTTCGCATTTCTGCTCTGCTCATCGACTCAAGCCATGTCATCGCCATTCCACACCATTCTCTCGCAGAGAGTCTGGATGTTGGAGTGACGGAAAAATTACTTCACTGAGCTTGCAATGCCTGTCCGGACAATCAAGTCAAGACACTACAGAGGCCCAAGAAGGGCTCACATATCATGTAGGAAGTTGAGATCTTACCATTTTGTCGGTGTTGTCGTGAATTCGTTGGTTGACGGGGACAAGGAGAGGAATGAAGAAGAGAAGAATCAAACTCAAGATGAAGTCGAAGCTGATGTGCATAGCTCGGTTGGGCTTAGCGCTGGAAAATTAAGCGAGGGTTGCCCTAATCACGTTATTAACTTTGCGGGATGACTAAGCATGACATCGCCCAGCTCCGAATCGCGGTTGGAGCAGGTACGGTACGGATTACGGGGTAGGTACAAGCGAAGTAGTCGAATTTAATACTGCATCTCCAATTTAAGATACGTGGAAGGAATAAAGTATGTTCATGTAAAGATCGGCCGCGAAGTGTAAGAGAACTAAACGAAGCAATATATCCCATAAACACCAGTTGACCCATGATCTACCCATCCAAACGCCCATCGTGCACGCTCTGTGTCCAAAATACCAATCCACAGCACATGCAGCAAGAAACATGAAACGCAGAAACATCTACATGAGTGAAAAGACCTCGCCTCCATGTCATCTCCAAGGCACCCCTAGCCCTGGAATGCCCGCCCTTCCAATCGCCCCGCTCCCAGCCTCAACGGCCCTCCGCTTCCCCTTCGACCCCTCCTGACTTTTCACACCCTGCACGATCCGCTCAAGATTCGTCTCCACCACAACCCCGCCAACAATCATTTCGCCAAGCACAGCGTGCATGGTCTCGAATCCGAATATCAGGTCCAACTCGCACACGTTCTCGAACAGGCGGTCCAGCGCTTCGACGACGACTTGGATCAGGTCGATGAGGGCTAGAGGCGATTCCGTCGAGGTGGATATTAGGATGAATGATAAGGTGGCATATGTTCGGTAGGTGATTTGGGTGGGGGCGTCGGAGAAACTGGTGTTGGAGGTGTTGGAGCTGGCGCCCTCGGCGAGGAGCGGGGGAAGTGGGAGGAAGTTGCAGGCGGAAGAGGGGCGTTGGGAGACGAGGTTGTATATTTGAGCGATGAGGGATTGTTGTGTTTGGGTGTCCTAGTTGAAACAGGGTGGGGTGTTAGACTTCAAGATACCTAAAGGATGTTGAAGTGCCACAGGGGTGACGTTGGCAGGATGGCCTGGCATACCAGTTGTGTATAGAATTTGGTCAGTCGTGGCTGACCACTATTATTAAAGACCAACACGGCATTGATCATGATGTTTGTCAGGGTGTTCCAACGTCCTAACACAGTGGTGGTATTTGGGAAGAGGATATAGATCGAAGACAAGCGGGTTGTTGCGATGATTAGCTCATGACGGAATTGCACTGGAATGGGTCGCGTTTGCAGAGTTTGTTTCCAGACCGGCAAAATAATAATCCGACCACCCAGAGCTTGCCCAAACCTTCTCCTTCTTCTTATCAATCGCATCCCGAACGAACGAGGAAAGATTAGGGGCTTTAACTAGAATTAGATAGTTTTGGTGCTATTGTTTTAGTGCTTTTAATTAGGAAAGCTAGTTAAGCAGCTAGCAGGGTGACAGCCCCCTACAGCGTACGGAGAATTAATTATTATTATTAATAACCCCTGGGATGGGCTGTATCAAGTGTCTGTATGTGAATGTTTGAAAAGTTGATATCATCGAGCTGTTGAAAATCTCAGGTAGATAATCATTGTCTCAGACTATGTACATACATTTTTAATTGAAGAATAATAATTAGTTAGTAATAATAATAATTATCAATCGAAAAGGCTTCGCATTTCGGAAAATGCCAACGTTCTTCCAGTCTTTCACCGGCGTCTACGCTGGTATACCCGGCATTTTTGTTAGGGCCCCCCTAATATTTTAGTTGCATGCTAACCATACTTATGGGGGTATATGTGGCATTCTCATGTTTGAAGACAACATTCTCTCCATGAGATGAGATATCAGATGAAGGGCCTGTTCGGTGCGTCCGTACTTTTTGAACGCAATAGTGGATCTCATTAAAAATAGTGTATTTACAATTATTAGTAGCAAGCCGGCGTTGTGCCACCACACTATTCCAATATTCTTCTGTACGCAGTAGGAAGGATGAGATGGAGAAAGAAGCTCACAAAAACACATTCTTTTTGAACAGAGTCCAGAGTCAGTTCAAAAAGAATGTGTTTTTGTGAGCTTCTTTCTAGCCAATATTAGTTAACTGCCTCCACTATGAATGCTATTCTACACTATATTGTCTCTAAAAGTGCTATTCTACACCATCACACACTGTTGAAGTTAAATACTGCTTATTCATAAGATCTTGACAAAAGATGCCAGTACGGCTGCTCAATCCACTGAACACCTAGCCTTTTTCATCTATACTTTGTAAAAGCAGCTGTAATATTAGTACAGATGCTCTGCCCACCGAACAGTTGTGATATTGGGGCTGTACTTTTTTAAAAAAAAAGTGGAGATCTGTACAAAAAGAACGAGTACACACGGCCGCACTGAACAGGCCCGAAATCAATAATAATATTAATATCTTGTATAGTCACCCCCTACCTAACAGCAAGCAGACATCTCTACTATAATTAATAAGCTTCTGTAACTGCTTCTCTGGTACAGATTATAGGTCCAGACATTTCTAATCATCTCTCCAAGTGCATCATAAGAAAGATTTTTCTCATTCTCATGATTCTCCTGTATTCACTACGGAGTACTCCGTAAGATTCCATACAGATTTAATTGAGTTCAGATCAGGGGGATAGCCTCGTCAATCTATAGGGAGGATTCCATGTTCTTGAAGATCTTGAGAAGTCTCTGCTACAGCATGTCCTGGAGCTTCATCTTACATCAATTTCAAGCCCGAGCCAGGGTTCATTTGTATCCACCCGTGAATGAGACGGAGTATTCATTTGTATCCACCCGTGAATGAGACGGAGTATTCATTTGTGATAGAATGTCTACGGAGTAGAAGGTTGAAAAGAAAGAAAGATTAGCACTGCTATACTGAATATTATAATCATATATTCATATTACACTGTGTATAACCAACCTTATTGATTGTTCCTGAAACCTTTTCT